CAGATGAGGTGGCATTGTTTGCAAGTAAAGTTAATTTAGAATCAAAAATATTTTCTGTATGTTTGATACGTAAGTGTTTGACTAGAAAATCCGAATACACTGGTTGATTAAGACGTCGAACAGTTAATACACTGCACCGTTACATATGCACTTCCGGCACAATTTATTTGGACGGAGTCTGAAATGTATTTTATCGTCCGTTTCAGCGTCAACATCCTGGACATGGCTCCCCTCCACGCGAGTGTCCTCGCAGGGCTCAGCAACACCATCGCCAACCTCTCGGGGATGCTCACCCCGCAGATAACAGGATTCATCGTGCGAACGAAGGTACCTGAGCGAAGCATGACGCGGAAGAAAGAAATGAAACAGCCTCTTAATCTGAGAGCGTAGGCTTCCGCGGCCGGAGTCAGAAGCTTCTTGGCTGTCCGGGCGACGCCGCGTCCGAGGCACAGGTGCCAACGATCCAAATGTCCCGTTTCGGAGGAAGGTCGCAGAATGGCGGCCAACCCTGAGCACCTACGCCTAGGACGCGGTGTCTCCGGTATAGCAAAGTAGCAACTAGTTCATTTCATTAGCTTTTAAAGACCGGGGTAAACTAACAATAATAAAAATCATTAAAAAATCTGTACGATGGTTCTCATTCTTTCAGCCCTTCAACATTTCATAATCAATTTTAACGGAATACGCAATTGCAGAATATTAATCCTCCTTATTCGTAAAAAACCTCACATTTTGTTTTTCCTTCAAAATTCAGAATTGAAACCGATGTTCCTTCAGAATACACTTTTAGATCGTTGTATAATTTTTGTGTGACAACTTGGAACAGAAGAGGACAAAACTTTATTAAAATTGACGGAAGAGAATTTCGGGTTGTGATGAACGTCTTGGAAATAACTTTTTGGGGGACAAGGGGGATATAGTAGTTGATTTTAAATAAGTAAGAAAACTATTTTTTCGCGATCGAGACTGAGGTTTGACCTATCGAACTCGACCCCCCCCTCCCAAAAAATCGAGATCGAGGGAAAATAATTTTTAACCTACTAATATAAACAATATTTCCTACAATCGTTAACCCATATCTCGATTCAGTAAGCCAGAATGACTCCCCATTTAGGTAGCTTCTCAATTTGTTCCCAAGAGGCTGAATGCACACCGGGCCATTTCCAATCCTATGGTGAAAATTTCACAGGATCGCCGGGGAATCGAAGCCCAAACCTCCGTATCTGGACCTGTAGATCGTAGCTCGCCATGCACGAACCTTACCTTCCCACGTGGCCCTACAATACTAATAATTACCCGCCTCTACCTAAGGATTTGGTGCTCTGAAAGATGCACAAACGTAAAATAAAAAAAATAAAAAACTTACATTTTTGGCGGAAAAGAAGAGAAAGGAAAACGAGTGTTGAAAAGCGATAATAGAAAAAGTCAAAGAAAACGGCGAATAAGAGTGTTTTTAAAAAAAGAAAAATATACCGCATTCCTGAAATGTTGCATGTGAACATTACTTCTGTTCTTAATCATTATTGTAAGCTGTACGCCGTCCCGTTGTGTATTTTTGGCCCTTGCTCTGCGCAGAGCGCGGCGGAGTGGCGCGTCGTGTTCTACGTGACGAGCGGCGTGTGCCTGCTGGGCGGCGCCGTCTACGGGCTGTTGGGCTCCGGGGAGCTGCAGCCCTGGGCCGAGGACGGGCTGGAGCCGCCGGTGAGCGTGGCCCTCGTGGCCGTCAAGGCGCCGCGCCGCGAGGACGGGGGCGTGGACAACCCGGCGGCCTCCGTCTCCTGAAGAGCCTCGCAGCCAGCTCCTTCTCGTTCTCCTCGCAAAAGGCGATCGACGCGGCACTTCCAAATAATTGTTACGACAGGAAGAAAGTGGCTATTGATGCGTTAAGAAAACGTGTAATAATGCAGTGGGCACAAGATGGTTCAACTTTCACAATTGCCGGTGTAAACTGCGATTTTGAGTTATTTTTTTTTCAGACTCGTTATGAATCATTGAGTAATACATGTGGTCGCACTAGAAGATTCTGGAATGTTTTCGTGGGTACAATCTCGAATATTTTTAAAAATATTACACTTTTACTTTTGTTCAAATTATCACGAACTTGGTGTAAATATTTTCTAGTTTAATAGTAGAGAGTAATTGTATGAATGTATGTTTATACGAACCAAAACTAATTTAGTGTGGGAGAGAGACTCATAAATTTTATATAGAAACGTAGTACTGATATTGATTATGTGTGATGCCTCATCTACTTCATTATTGAAATTATATGACGTTTTATATGCAATTCATAAGGTTTAAATAAAATGGTACTTAAACTGTATACTTGTTTTGTATCGAATAAAAAAGCTTGAAGGAAAAATCATGAAACGTTTTTAATAAAATTTTTTGTTAGTAGTTTTCGGGAAATTTTCAATATTTGATGGTAATTATGTAAAAGGCGAATTATTAGAAAAACATTACATAAAATGGTTTGAAAAACATTACACAATAACTTTGAAAAACAGACAGCCTTAAGGAATATCTATTTTCAATAACGGAGCTGAATGATGTGTAAGAAAAAAAGACTTTTCGCAATTTTAAAACTTTTTGATCCTTTAATGAAAGTCAAAGCTTAGCCATGTTTATATGCGCACTTATATTTATTCTGGATAACATTTTAATAAACATAAATTTAATAAAAAATGTACTCGCAAATTTTCAATTCCCAAGCCTAATGTTGAACCAGATTGATGGGAGATTCGTAATTATGAAAAAAAAATACATGATTTAAGAGATACTTCGATCTCAGACAGAATACCGGACGGACACAGGGGTAAAACGATTATGAAAAACACAATTAACGGCTTTTAGTTCTGTGAAAATGCAAAGAGTAAAACATTTCAGTAGCAAAAATTAAAATTGTTCTGAAAAACACACACACAAAATGGTTTTCAGATATATCGCGAACACTGCTTAAGAACAACTAAACTCACCACAATACCTCTATTTAACCATGCTGTCGTAATGATGCGTATTGCATTTGACCGGAATATTTAGATGCGTCTTTTTTTTTCAACAAATCCTTCATATTTTATTGCCCAAGTGAAATTCGTTTCGCCTCCACGTCGTTCTTTGTTCAAGGTGAAGTAACAGCATCTGAACTACTGAATGTTGTGCCAACTATATTTCCATTTGTGTTGTCTAAGAAAGATTTGATATAAATTCCATGTAACATTAATTAAACTATGCAATTTGATTCTTACAACGTTTAAAATTTCTCCTTAGAACAGTTCAAAATATTCTCATCTGTTTGCTCTTACTGTTCGTAGTTGTGGAGAGACAATATATACCAATTTCCTAAAATAATTGTGTGCATGAGGGGTAACAGAAAATAAAATACATGCAGAAAGCAGACAAATAAGCACAGTACTTGAAACACTTTTGTTCAATAATTAGTAAATCGATTTGATTAATAATACATATAACTTGCTTGCACATTTAAACTAGATCATTTTTTAATCTGCTCAAAATAGCATTTACAGCGCTGAATAGTTCTCCTAGTTTTCTTGCCAATGCTTCAACGTGTTCCAACAAAGTTTGACTTTTTCTATAGCCTTTTCCCTTCTTTTTTCGATTTACACGCAGAAAACTCTGCCCTTTTAATGGAGAAAGCTGCTTTCTTGAGTGTCGGTCGTCTCAAAGTTCCCTGAAGCTAGTTTCGTTACTTTTCTTCGTTGCATAAGGACTTGTAGCGAATTACAGTTGGGTACACAGTCCTTGCAGAAACAGGATGTGAACGGCTGCAAGATACGCATTAAAATTAATCTTCATCAATATCAAGAAACTGTTAACACTTTTAGCTGCAGCGAGAGCGAATCTTGAATTAATAATCATGCAAATACATCTCGTCAGTCTGCGCAAACCACGGTTTACACAGAAAGTGTAATCATAAGTTGGATGAATCTAAGCGTGACGTCACAAACAAAGCTGGTTTTAAGC